GCTAACCAAAGTCACTATGTATTCTGGTCCCAGAATGTTCTCGTACAAGATTCTTTGCCATCTTGAAGAAAGTGCTAACCAAAGTCACTATGTATCTTCTCATTTACATTAACTCACACCTCTTTTTACTGGCTACTCTCATAGGCCTTTCACTTTCTATTCTGCATTTCCCATTCTGTTTAGATTGAGCTTTTCTCATCAGATTATTGCTTGGTTTAGTGTTACTATGGTGGGCATAATAATTACTGCCATATCCTTAATACATAACTTGCTGTCATCTAATACAATGAACTGAGCATCAACAGGTCAAATCCCAGTGCACAAAGCTGTGAATGCTTAAAGCCGCTGAGGTGTGCACTTCGAGTGGGTGAACTGCACAATGTGTGAATGGTACGACTAAAGATGTTAGCAAATAATGCATGCTTCCATAAACATACTGGTCATTGTCCACTCTATGACATTTTTTTTGTTCTTTCCCATATGTGTGCTAAGGCAAGTGAGGCTCAGAGAGGATAAGTGACCTGTTTAGGATGATAAAGTTGGCTATTGGCAGAGTCGGGACTGGAATCCAAGCCACTTCACTCCTAATCTAGAACTTAGTTTGCTTTAATAATACTGTACTTGGCACATATACACTTCCATCTGAGGAGGCTTTACCGTGCTCTAAATTCAGTATAAAGACTCTTCTGATAATGTAAGTGAAACCTCTGGCCACTTAAATTCCTATTCTTATACTGCAACCCTCCTTGGTTACACTGGTTGGGAGGGCTTCTTCAGATAAATTAAGTGTGAAAAGCAGGGCCCGCTCTGGGGGTGCAGCTGGTTAAGAACAGCACTAAGAAGCTAAAGCTACTTCCACAAAGTTCGACCCCTACCTGCCCCTGAGGTGATCCACATGGTGAGGCAGACCTCTCCTGTCCCGCCCACTGCTCCCCTCAGCAGTGTACTTCATCAATATGTCTGTTCTGCTCCCCACTCTGTCTCTGGTGAAGCCTCTCACTGCCCCTGCACCTCTGGCCTGTACCCCAGTTCTGTATGCACAAATAAATAAATCTTAAAAAAAAAAAGTGAAAAGCAGGTCCTCCCTGGTGGTGCAATGGGTTAAAGCTCAGCGCTATGAAGCTAGCTGCAGCTGCTTCAGCATGAGTTCATTCCCTGGCCAGGGAAGTGACACACATGGCTCAGCAGACCTCTCCTGTCTTGCCCACTGCTCCCCTCAGCAGTGTGCTTTGTCATCTGCCTGTTCTGCTTCCCACTCTGTCTCTGGTGAATCCTCTCACCTACCCTACACCTCTGGCCTGTACCCCAGTTCTATATGCATAAATAAATCTTTTTTAAAAAGAGTGGAAAGCACCACCTATAGTGACTTCATTCATGAAATTCACAGGATACAAAGGAAACTGAGATTTTTTGGGGCATTTACAAGAAGCAGAGAAGAGCTGCAAGAGTTTCTTTGGGTTCAGTTTTAGGGAATTTCAATTAGAGCTCAGCACACATTACTCTACCTTCCATATTGCGTCATGATCCCGGGGGGGAAGTAGGTGGTGTAGCAGCCTCCTGAATACTGCTCCTCACACCAGTTCTTCTCTTCATAGTGCACCGGCTGAAAGGCAGAGTGACAACAGCTCAAAGGAGACTCAGAGGAATCTACTTAGTCTAGAATCAAACACCGTCCAGTAGCTTCCTACTGAAGTTCCAAGAGATTCTGAAATAGAGCCTTATTACCTTGATGTTTTAGAGAGGTCTTCGGGCAGGATAAACTTAGAAAGGTTTTCCACTTGATTCATTCGTGTGTCAGGCTGCAATTGTCTAGCTAGCTCCAGCTCTAAATTGGGCTTAGCTATTAAGGCATTTTTAGTGCTTCATAGTTTCGAGATAAGTTTTGAGAAGGATTTATACTTACTGAGTTATTGGAGCAGGAAAAACAAACAAACAAAAAAAACATGTCTGTCAAGGAAAAAGGATCACCAGATTCTAGTTTTGGTGAAAACAAGCTTTGTTAAGGGAGGCTAGACAGAAAAAATAAAGTTTTCATGGGATATAGGTGTTTTAATTGATGGTGGTTCTTATAAACAACTATAAGTCTGAAAAGTATCTTTTTGCCACAAACAGGCAGAACATCTGCTGAGATTTTGCAAAGGGCAAACACTTTACTAAAACTACTAAACATAAGCATTACTTTGTTTCTTTATTGAGGTAACACTGGCTAACAACATTGTACATCACAAGCATTATTATCAAGCATTCTTTTGAAAAGAACATCAACACGGCAAGATTTAAGAGTACACGTTAGCTGAAAAAATCGATTTAGAAAAAATGAAAAATTTGCAGTCACCTATTTGACTCTGAATAGCATTTTGAACCCATTCCATTCCCAGATCTCTGGCACTGGCATCTAATGGCCAGCCTTTCTTCTGCAGCTGCCTTGGGTGGGCCCTTGTCTGGCTGTCTCCAAGCTCTCAGAAGAAAGGCTGGATTTCATCTTCCAACTTTCCTAACTCCCAAGAATTCCTTCTTTCCCCGCAATAGACACCAAAGCAGCAAGAGTAGCACAAATATCTTAAGAGCTCATTCATAGGTAGAGGACAAAAAACAAAGCAGATGAGCAGAGAAAAAACACCAATCTTTCCATACAGGAACAGTCTGGTGGGTACCACAGGGGGCTGAGAGTGGGTGAAGCAGGTAAATGAGGTCAATTACATGGGCATGGACAGAAACTAGACTTTGGGGTGATCATGATGTAGAGCTTACAAATGTCGAGTTACAAGTCAGGCCATCTGAATTTTATATAATGCCATCAACCAATGTTAGCTCAACAAAAATGAATTTAAAATATCACTAAAGTGTCTCTTTTTATATTAAGAACAAAGAACAAGGTCAACACATTTTTATCACCAGTATGAAACATTCACATCCTGATTAGCAAAGGACACTATCCCAAGGTATAAATGAGACATTTTAAAGTATTGACACCACTTTTGAAAATGATCACTAAATCCAGTTATATGGGAAGCTTTGGAGACCATGTAATAGAGCAGTTAAAGCTTGAGGAAAATCTAAGGAGGAGCTAAGGATGTCTCACTGGTTAAGCCTCTTAAACCCAAAGCGCTACACACCATCACCGAGTGGAACAGCTACCCACTTAATCTTATTACGCCAACACTGACCTTGCCCCACGCTGCTGAGGCTGGCTTTGAAATATTATTATTAAGCATTGCTTAGAAATAATTTTTGGCTAGATAAAATGTTCAGAAATTTGAGAAAAACTGCTTTCCTCTTCAACTGGGGATCCCCAAAGACACATCTCACAGGTTTCTGATGATGCCTTAGTTACACACAGCTTCAGCCAGATAGTGCTTCAGAATGTAACTTCAAACAAGCTTGAGTATCTACCAGGATCTTAACTGCATGTTAAAACAGAAAACCAGCACTTCTGAACAGATGCCAAACGACGCTTTTCAATGGCATGTATTTATGGTTTTGATCCTTCACACAACTTACCCAGGAGCTCAGAGACTATGCCTATATTTAAACTTGCTAAATGATATGTAAAGGCAGAAAAATGAAACAAAACATATTCCCCATTGTTATTGTTTCTCTCCAGAACAATCAATTCATCAATCTTGTTCATTTGCAGAGGGAGGACTCCCCAATCCTCAAAATCCCGTGATTCATCTAGATCATGTACAATGGAGAAATCATCATCTTGCCTTAAAAGAATGGACAGAATGCACAAAATGAAGAATGACGTAAAAATAATAAATAAATAAATATACATACGTGTATATATGTATATTAATTAAAAAATAGGAAATATATATATATATATATATATTAAAAAATAGGAAAGGAAATGACAAGTTCAAAAGCCACAACAACTGTAATAGCAAGAAGCAAGCCACAGCAGAGTGGGAAAAGTTGTGTTGGGGTAGTAAGATTAAGCGGGAAGCTGTTCCACTAGGTGGTGGTGTGCAGCGATTTGGGTTTAAGAGGCTTAACCAGAGAGACGTCCTTAGCTCCTCCTTAGATTTTCCTCAAGCTTTAACTGCCCATTTATACAGTCTCCGTGGTCTCCAAAGGCTTCCTGTATAACTGGATTTGACAATCACTTTCAAAAGGTGATTTAATCCAGGTCAAAATATTAAAAACCCTGCAGGCTGGTGAATGTATGAAAACACCAGTTCACCACTTAAAATACTGACAGAGGCAGTCATGTCAGCTGACTCTGAGTATACAGAGTCACCAAGCGCCCCAGCCACACTACTTCTTGACCCCACCTCCATCCCACCTTCAACCACCTGGGGGTACTACTTGTTTAACTGCAACATTGGGTTCCTCAGGCTACTTTCAATGGTTATCTCAGAAACAGGGGATAAGGCTCCCTCTGAGTCAATCACATGTCTTCCCTGCACCCCCGATGTTTAGTGTTAAACAGACAAATAGAGATCTTCAAGGGGTGCAGGCCACTCCATTTTTACCCTGGAGATGACCGGAGGTGGCGGTGCCGAGGGTGTTAGGGATGGCTTATCTGATAATTCATGTACATAAACGAGGATGGCTGTTAGGAAGATCAACAAACAAAAGGCAAGCTCTATCCCTCTCCCTTCTGGCCGTTATGTTCTAGGACCCCACTAAAGCATAGCAGAATTTCCCCTCCTTTATCTTCTGACATTTGTTCAGACAGAGCTGGGTGCAGTGTGGCCCAGTGACCCGCCCCAGGAAGAGCTCTCCGTACAAGGACAACTGAACACCAGCTCAAACAAAGCAGACTGCCTGAGCTGCCACCAGCACAGCCAGCATCCTACTGTCTGGGACCACTTGTAAGTTGCCAAGTCCTGTGCACACCCCTCTGAGAATACACAGGGCAGAGGAGCGCCAGGGCTTGCCCCCTGCACGAGCTGAACCCTGCTAGTAGCCATCTGCACACTGAGCAAGAGCCCTGTCTCTGAAGAAAAAGGTGAGGAGCAGACTTACTTGCAGAGCTTCCTGGCAGCCCAGGACTTTTGCATAGAGCTCACAGAGTTTCTTCAACCTATGGGAACAAGGGGGAGAAAAAGGTGAAAAGGAAGGAAATGAAAGAAAAAGTTTCAGAAAGAATTAACAGTCCTCT